TGTTTTTTAATCGCTGTCTCTCACATGTCCAGTACGCAGTCCGTCCTGTTCTAAATAACTGGATAGAAACAGCCAAAAGTGAAGAGCCATCAACGTCATGCGTGACCTTGTGCGCAGCTCCGAGGAATATTGAGATTTGATTGCCCAGTCACTGTTATTTATAGTTGGTAAATTATCATATGTAGAGAATCTTAATCAAAATGATTTTTTTAATGTTAAGTTTTGCATAATGCACAACACTATAAATCTAAATGAGATGATAAGGGGATGGTGGTTTTACAGAGAATTGTTTTGCCATTTTATTTTCAACAAGGGGATGGCAAATCGAGCACTGCATAATTCCAAGTAAAAGAACTCACACTATATAAAAGAATAAGTCAAGTCAAGTCAAGTCACCTTTATTTATATAGCGCTTTTTACAATACAGATTGTATCAAAGCGCTTCACAGTGATAACATGAAAACAATATAACAAAAACAATATAACAATATAACAAAGTTTGTTTCTAAAAGAAATTGCGTCAACGTCCACCTTAAGTAAGGCAGATCAATAATATTATTGAATATTAAATGTTAAATGTCCCCAACTAAGCAAGCCAAAAGCCAAGGCAACAGTGGCAAGGAACCAAAACTCCATCAGGTGACAGAATGGAGAAAAAAACCTTGGGAGAAACCAGACTCAGTCGGGGGGCCAGTTCTCCTCTGGCCAACGGAAGAACAGTGCATGATTCGGGCAGCATTACAAGTCAGATTGGATCGGAACATTTAGAGTATTTTTGGAAGTCCAAGTATGCACGCCGGTCTTAAGACGAGTTGTTGAGGATCAGTGCCGTCCACCATAGAGAGTCCATATCGCCCGTGTTTAGTCGTCACTTCACACAAGACAGTGACTCTTGCGTCCCAAAATCACCCCCCTCCGTCCCCCACTCAACTCAGCCCAGCTTACTGACCTCTACGTCCCTCCTGCTGCTGAGACCTAACCACAATCTCACAATCTCTCCGCAACCCAACCATACGCGCCAACCCGTTGACTAAGGCTGTCGAGCCCCACTGGTGCGTGAATAGGCAGTTTCAGTGGACAACGGTTCCGTATGGCATACTACCTACCGCAACACAATATCTGCCCAACCACCCTTCATTCATGCAATATACACAGGAACGTAATGACTGTAAATACTATGCAACCTATACAGATAACCTACAGTCTCTTCAAGTTTTATAGTCTTAAATGCATTTGATCTGATTCAGCAGTATTATAAAAGGTAAGCATTATGTAAATGCTTGGCTAAAAAGATGCGTCTTTAATCTAGTTTTAAACTGGGACAGCGAGTCAGAGCCTCGAACAATATCAGGAAGGCTATTCCAGAGTTTAGGAGCTAAATGTGAGAATGCCCTCCCTCCTTTAGTGGACTTAGATATCCTAGGAATGACTAGAAGCCTCGAATTTAGTGATCTTAAAGAATGCGATGGATTGTAGGGCGATAGAAGGTCCATTAAATACACAGGAGCTAAACCATTTAGGGCTTTATAGGTCAGTAATAGTACTTTGTAATTGATACGGAACTTGATAGGTAACCAGTGTAGAGATGATAAAATTGGTGTTATATGATCATATTTTCTTGACCTAGTAAGAACTCTAGCGGCTGCATTTTGCACTAACTGTAAATAAACATTTGTGCAATAATGCAATTTGCAGAGTGTCAAAGGGCAAACCTGAATCTTTAAGTAACCTGATAATTTAAAATTATCATATGAACGTTGCTGAATCTCACTTTTATCATCTCTATTTTGTTATCCATCAGCCGACAGCCATGTTTGTTTACATTGCTACTCGGTCAGGGAGTGAGAGCTTGTTACATTTACAACACATAGATTCCACTTCTGGGAGAAGAATAATCATTGTCAATTTATTTGAAAGATTGTTTTCTCAATTATTAGACATGTTAATGTCATGTTTAATCTGTTTTGGTTTCGTTTTCTCTGTGTTTTGTCCTGTTTTGCCTTCTAGTTAGTTTCCATGGTTCTTAATTAGTTAGCCTGTTCTGTTTTAGTCAAATATCCACAGTGTATTTAAGCCCTCAGTTTCCTGTGTTCCTTTGTCCGGTCTCGTCTATGTTACATTATTCTCCTTTGTTTTAGTTAGTGGATTATAATAAAGACTTTTGTTCCTCTTCTCCTTCGGCATGCGCTCTCGATACAACCTACGCCTCACATGTTAGATATCAGTGTGTTTTTTATGAACTATAAACGTCCTTTGTTACTAGGTCTTTGTACTTTGAACGTTGTTTGAAAACACTGAAAGTTTGTGATTATATAAATCCTATATGAGCGTATCAATCTCTGGCAGAGCATGAAAGCTGATTTGTGTTGAGCAGTCTTGTAAGTGTGATGGTATTGCAGCTTGCCTTGTTTTCGTGGGCCGGTTACAGTGTTTCTGAGGGCTGTAGTTTACGGACCCCTGGCCTAAATACTGTTTGGCAGAGAGACAAAGAGACAAACCCGTTTAGGTCTAGGACGACTGGAATCGTTGACAATGGGAACTTGGACATGTTTGAAGCTCACTTCCTTGGCTGACTGTATCACCTTCTGCTGTGTTGTGCCATCGTGAATGAAGCAGCTCCAGATCTGGCACTGTCTGTCAGGACACTGCAGTAGTAGAGCATTGGTAGAACCTGTCTGAATATGCCATATTACCACAGAGTTTCATTTGCCCAATGCTATCCTTGAATATAATGCTTGCTCAGTGTGTTAAACATGAATACATAAGTCTTAAGCCCTTTAATAATGACCAACACCCTTTGACATGTTTGTGTGCAGCAAAGCACACATTTAATATGTGTCAAACAAACTCATGCGATCCATCTGTGTCATATGCGCTAGAATGATTGTGTGTGTGTGTGTGTTAACAACACACCAAACTTGAAAAAGGCAGAACTTTTGGATGATAAATTTTCATTTTCTTAGACGTCAAAAATAGCAAAACTTCCTGATCTCCATCTGTGTTCCTTGAAGCTGGCGAGGAGATTTACCCATAGGGAAACCAGCATTGACTCATTAAGACAGACACATGTGCCATTCTGCCAGTTCCTCTAAACACGCATCCAATTAAAAATGTGTAATTACACGAGATCACACATGATCAGCCAACATGAACACCAGAGTCGCGTCTGTGAGAGGGAGCCGTGCTAATGTGAGGTGTACATGTGCATTGCTTATTTTCATACCATATTTTCCGACCTAATTTTATTTAATTTTCTCTCAGATTTAAAGTAAACCAATATGTAGATTAAACAGGATTTTAAGAGAGGTCATGTTAAACTGTGCTGATATCTGACATAAACTGTGAATGTACACTGACTGATTCAAGACCCCTATTAACCTTATAGCAACATTGTTTAGCTAGAGTAGTAATAGCAGGGCTTTAAAGTGTATTATGAGAAAATGCAATTTACTTTATTTTTTTTACAAGCAGAACTGCAGTATTTAGGCCTGGTTATAATTTTATACTAATAACCTGTTACTAAACATGTGTCCTTTGATGTTCATCATACATCACTTGATTTGCAGGACAACAACTGTATAAATGTAGTTCTTATTTGTAGGAACTCGAACACAGGGTGATGATGCCATAGCAACACATCAGTGCTATAGAATCGTGTCAATGCATTGGCTGATGAACAACGCGCGTAAGGAGCTTCCTTATAAGTACACACATGGTGCCATTGTGTCTGATTTTTCTTTCTGCAGTGCACAGTGTGTCTCAGCCCGCTGTCCTACAACTCACGCTGAAGTTAAATAATTCCCCTTTTGAGTGTCAGTTATGTGGCTTCAGCCTTGCACACTATGACGGTCTTGAAAGCCTTTCAAGCTCATTTCAAGAGGCACAGCAGTGGATGCCGAGGCTTGACACTGAGGGCTACCAAGCGGATGACGAATGATTGAAGATCCTGTTGTTTCCATACTGAATTTTGTTCATTAGCATCTTCAGATGCGACTCCTTTGACACTTAAGGTGTATGTAGTTCCTGCTTTAAGATTTGGCTTTGCCTAATAGAGTCGGTGCATTTTCTAGTGCTTTGGTGGCACGTGTGTTGCCTTCCCTGGGAAGTTTGACTCTTGGATCATCAGCCTATTGGTGTGCTACTATGTTTGCCACATGGGCTGAGCTACTGTTTGCATGGCGTGACTGCTTATATTCCCATTGCGTCATCATGCAGCGTTGAGTTCCAACAAAATGGAAAGTCTAGGTTACTGATGTAACCCAGATTCCAGTAGCACCTCATTGCAGTACACGAGATCCAGGGGGCGGAGTTTGATCCAGATCTAAGGGGCGGAGATGGGTAGGATTAGGGGTGGGGTTAGGGATCAGGGGGTGGAGATGGGTAGGTTTAGGGGTGGGGTTAGGGATCAGGGGGCGGAGATGGGTAGGTTTAGGGGTGGGGTTAGGGATCAGGGGGTGGAGATGGGTAGGTTTAGGTATATGTAAGGTGGGAGGAGTTGGATCTGGATCCAACTCCTCCCCCTGGATTTTGTGTTCTGCAGTGAGGACCATCTCCCAGATTCCCTGAGTGGGAACAAGACGCTGTGTAGCTTCTTGGGCTCGTGCCCTTTGCAGAAAAATCTAATGCAGTGGTGCCAAATATAGGCTAATAAGGCTCCTTATGGGCGTCATCCATCAGCCAATGAACTGGCATGATTCTGTAGGACAGCGTGACTACTGATGTGTTCCCATTGCATCATTACCCAGCGTCTTTGGGAACGTCTTGGTTAAATATGTAACCCTTATTCCCTTTTAGTCAGTCACGTTCAACGTTATGCCAGAACAACTGACTACTTGGGATCCCAATTCATCAGTCGTTCTGACGTAACGTAGAGCGCTATGGGAACGTTAAAGGGAACCAGGGTTACCTCATTAACCTAGATGTTTTGTTGTTATTTGTATGATTTTTTATGTAAATGCCAGCTGCCCCTTCACATGCTCATGCCATGATTCCACCTACTTACTCTTGTGTCTGTTTTTCTCTGCAGTTCTGGAAACATGCCGAAGCACGTGGAGGTCAGAATGCATGAAAGCCACCTGGAGCCCATTGAGGCGAGGCCGAGGTCCAAATTTGCCACAATATGCCAGAAGCTGCGCAAGAACCTGCTGCTCACACTGACTGTACTGGGTGAGTGTTCTTCAGCATCTCACAGGGATGAACGGGAACAGCAGACAGTTTCACAGCACTCGTAGCATGATTACACATAGAGCGACTGCTGAATGTCCGAACACCACAGCAAACAGCTGACTCTAAATCCTAGTATTTGTTTTAAACCTCCGTCAAAGGAAGTGAAATAAATTGTGGGGAATGAATATTTGTGCAGAGAAAAGATGCTTTCATTTCCTGCGACTGAAGCATTGTTGAACACAGAGTGAATACAGAGGAAGTCATTTTTACGCTGTATATCTGAACAGGTGAATATGCGATTAGCTCTAGAGAGTGTGTATAGCAGTTAGTGTCTCTGAGAAGAAATCTGCCGTGGGCGGGTGTGATACATGTGCGATATGTGTGTGTTTCAGGATGTAACAAACAAACTTCTTTGCAGGATTATAAAGCCAGAAAGTAATCTGCCTCAGCAGGACAGCATTAGTAAAGAGCGTTCGGTACATGTAGAGCTGGACGGGGAAAGACTGCACTGTTCCCAGAGCCTGCCCTACACACAGATATGGATAATGACGCCTCACACAGCATAGTTCCACAGCACAATATCTGAAAACATCCCGCATGTATGTCATGGTACAAATGACTACCCAGACCTGAATATCAAGACTCTGTTTATTTTTTGTCTAATTCAGCCTACTACACATGATCAGTCTTGCATTATTGCAATTTTTTCCCATTTATTTAACATCTGCCTTTGGTTTCAGAGGACCTTAACTGGGTGGTGAGATTATTTGTTTGGAATGACATATGTTCAGGAATATTTTGTCCAAATGATCCAAAAGAAGAGCTTCTCTTTCCCCCGTCCCAGGTGTGATTTTGGGAGCGGTTTTTGGTATGCTGCTGCGTGTCGCTTCTCCGATCGATGACAACATTGTCATGGTAATTGCCTTCCCTGGAGATATTCTAATGAGGATGCTGAAAATGCTCATCCTTCCCTTAATCATCTCCAGCTTAATCACAGGTAACACAATCCTCCTCTTTTAACAAGCTGTCGACTGTTAGATTAGAAATGGTGAAGATTTGCACATTCCATTTTACACTTGGCAACATAAACATGTCTTCACAAAATGAGAATACGTCTGATCTTTAATTCCTGTGTTTGCACTAAATGAGACTCAACTGAGCTCCCGTCACGAACGCCTCCTCCTGAAGTCTATATTGCAATCTGTCTGAAACGCTTGGTCTCTTCATGGTTATATATATTCCTGTAGTTAAATCAGTAAAGCATGGCGCTAGCAATGCCAAGATCATGGGTTTGATTCCCAGGGAATGCATGAACTGATAAATGCAGTGTAAGCTTTTTATGGATAAAAGTGTCTGCTGAATGCATAAATGACCGTATGGCTATGAAGTGGCCAAGTGTAAACAGCCTCTAAGTTTAAATTCTTAAATAACACAAAATCTTAACAAAAACTGTCCTTCAATGTCTGTGTATTCATTCAATTTAAGTATACAAGAGATAAATCGTTGAAAGCGGAGGGCAGCTGTGAAGAAGTCTCTCCTGTAGAAAGAGGCAGTAGAAGAAATCCTCTTTTCTCAGAAAGAGAAGGGTCTTTTTTCAGTCATTATGTTTTGTGAACATAAGCGCCCTATATTGGACTGGTTAAATATGTTGAACATTTGGTTTGATAATGTCCAACAGACATTCACAAAAGTACTTTAATATATTTTTATTTTTTATATAATATAATAATATACCGGTAAGTTTTATATAACACTTTTTATATAATTAAACTTCTCTAAACTTTAATTTTCCCTCATGCCAATTCACTGAGGTTTAAAAGTATAGTATAGAAAAGTATAGTATAGAAAAGCACAAAAGTATAGAAAAAGGTCAAGTCTCTGTTTAGTAGAGCTTTTGCATGTCTTTGTGGATAGCAAGGGTCAAACTGTCATTATTGCTATTTAAACTGCTTTATGATGGTATATAGTTATATTTTTGATATAGCATATGTATTATTTATCATATAAATTAACAAAGTTACCAGCCAGTAAATGTATAATTTTAGCTTTTTTTTAGAGGTGGATTTACACAGCAATCACATTCACAGGATTCCTGTGCACAGCCAACAGAAATAAGATGTGTGCTGATTGTTATAAAAGGGATGTTTAAAGATGTTTAATCTATGACTGCTTTCATACCCAACGCATGAAAGCAGATTGAACTAGACTAGAGTGATATAAGCTGTATATCAAGACATTTGAGCTGATGAATATGAAACAATGACATGCCCATTTCCCCAACCAAGGTCTGGCTGGCCTGGATGCAAAGTCAAGTGGTCGTCTGGGTTCCAGAGCCATGATCTATTACATGACCACTACTATCATTGCTGCTGTGCTGGGCGTGATCCTGGTGCTCCTCATCCACCCTGGAAATCCAAAACTCAAGGAGAATCTCGGAGAAGGAGCTAAGAATGATGAGGTCTCCAGTCTGGATGCCTTTTTTGACCTTATCAGAAACCTCTTCCCTGAGAACTTGGTTCAGTCTTGCTTCCAGCAGGTACGACTCCACAGCTGTGTGCCAAGATGCAAAGTTGATACGTGTAATGTAAATTTGGCTGGGGAAAATAATGCATTATGTTAATATTTGCTGTTTAATTCGTTACAAATAATTGATGCAGCATCTGCAAAGTTTCCACATTCACTTGGATATTCAGTGTGACAATATAATTCATCAGTTTCTTACGTAAATACAGCACTAGTAAATGCCTGCATGTAATTACACTGTTGACTGACTGAACACTTAAACACCAACAGCTACATGTACTGTGTCAGCACACTAAGCAGACTGTATTAAATGCTTAATGGTTGAAGTGGGACAAGAACTTGCAACAAAATGGTGAATTGATTGAGGTGATGTTTAAATGCACAGATCCAGACCGTTGTGAAGAAGATAGAAGTTCAACCTGACCTCGATGACACCAACAGCACTATGTCTGACTTTCTCTCTAATGCCACCAAGCCACCGCCCATTGTCATAGTCAAGAAATCTCTAGAGTTCAAGAGTGGAATGAATGTGCTGGGTAGGGCAATCATTCTCTCAAATATCTTTAGATAAATCCTTACCTTTTCATTTATTTATCTTTTTTCATCTTTGTCTTTCAATATGTTCCAGGTCTAATTGGATTCTTCATTGCCTTTGGAATTTGCATGGGCAAGATGGGAGAGAGAGCTAGGCTTATGATTGAGTTCTTCAACATTCTCAATGAGATTGTGATGAAGCTTGTCATCATGATTATGTGGTCAGTTGGACTTTTCATGTCCTCTAGCTGAATAAGAAGTCTAGTGATTATGTTTTATACCGATGGACTAACATTATGGACTGACTTTATAGGTACTCACCCTTTGGCATTGCCTGCTTGATCTGTGGAAAGATCATCTCTATTAAAGATCTGGAGGTGGTGGCCAGGCAGCTGGGGATGTACATGGTGACGGTTATTGTTGGTCTGATCATCCATGGTGCCATATTCCTGCCAGCCATCTACTTTGCAATTGTGAGGAAAAACCCCTTCACATTCTTCATGGGAATCTTCCAGGCCTGGATCACGGCTCTGGGCACAGCTTCTAGGTATGAAGTTACACTACATGATCTACATTCTATGTAGCCATACATTTGTAAAAAATAAATCAATAAAAAGCCATACATTAAACATATATATTTACCTTTTGCATACATATTGCAACATAATCACAAGCATAATTTATTAACCGAGTAAGAATGATCATTTTGTCTTTTCTTCTTCTAGTGCTGGCACTCTGCCTGTAACTTTCCGCTGTCTTGAAGAAAACCTTGGTATTGACAAGAGAGTTACACGGTTTGTGCTTCCAGTTGGAGCAACAATTAACATGGATGGAACAGCCCTCTATGAGGCTGTAGCTGCAATTTTTATTGCCCAGATGAACGGAATTTATTTAGATCCTGGTCAGATCGTCACTGTCAGGTAATAATAGGTTGGTTCGTAATTTTATTATGAACCAACATCCACCTAATAATTCATGCACTGTGCACCAACTAAATGTTACAATTATTCAATGTTTTTTGTAGGTTAATGTTCAACAATATGCATTTGTTTCTCCCAAGTTTTTCCCCCCAAAACCTCCAAATGTAACATTTCCCTTACCAGAAACTGAAAACTCATATAAAAAGTGATTTTCTCATTAGCTGTTAATTATTCTTGTCCTCTGCTGAGGCATACAGTAGCACCAAATCTTAATAAATAAGTTAAAAACACCTAGCCTACTAACAAAATAGTCTAATTTTTTATTTTTCAACTGAGGTCAGTTCAGTGTCGATCCAGTTCTGTTCAATAACTGTGTAAAGTTCAGCAATTATAAAATTAGTTCAATTCAGCTATGAAGGAGCTCTGTAGAATGAGAGTGATGTCATCATCCAGCTCGGATCGGTTCTCATCCAATAGTGTCAGTGCATTCAGATCAATAATATTAGCAAGGCAAGGCAATTCATTTATAAAGCACAATTCAAAACAACAGTTAAACACCAATGTGCTGTACAATTCTTAACCATGCAAAAAGCAAACATTCAGTACACACCAATATTACACGCAATAGTAGTAGTAGAGGTGAAGGAGGAATGGAGGGGGCTTTGGAGGTGGCTGAGGCGATGACATAGGGAAGGCAGGAGATGAAGAGGGGATGGTGCAATACAGACAACGAGACCCCGGCGGCGATGATGAAGGGCGTCTGACTGCACGGGCCCAGAGATAACAGTCCATGGGGGAAGGAGGGAGGAGCCAAGGTGGCGTGGAGGCAGACGTCAACTGGGTGATAACTGACGGAGGTGGAGCCGATGGATCCCAGGGCGCAGACGGAGAGCCGATGGAGATGAGCGACATCGCTGGCACAGGAGGCCTGGGCGATGCCGGAGCGATGACCCAGACTGCCCGAGAACTGCGGCGATGGCGGTGTGATGGAGTACTGAGGCGTAACCAAAGGGAAGGAGGCGGCCGCTGCAGCCGTAGGGGTGGAAAGTCCACATGTCCTTGGCAGAGGTGGAGTGATGACTGACCAAGGGGGAGCCGGTGGGACAAGGGAACCCGGTGGAGCCGTAAGACCGAGTGTGTCTGGAGGAGCCAAGGTGGAGCCGACAGCTCGACAGCCCTGAGGTCTCTGGGAGGTCTACGGGGTGATGGTAATTCGCCCCAATCCAGAACAGTGACTTCAGGGTCTCGTCGTCAAAGGGTCTGGTGACGGCAAGAAGGCAGAATTTCTCCATGAAAATTTTAAATTTGTGGCTCTTCTGAACTACAGCAGCGAATTTTGTGGCGTATTCCATTTTTGGGTCCGGTATTCTGTAACGCTAAATCCAAGGAAGATGAAGATGAAGCGAATATAATGAAAGGTTTATTCCTTCTTCAATAAGATGGTTTATCTGCCCATGCTTTATTTGCTTTGAATCATTGGATTAATTGTGTTTCAGCAACCCACATCAAGTGGAATGATTGTTGGAACACGATGGCTTTTTGGAAGTATTTATCTCTGTGTCCTCACGAGTAAGAACATGCATGGTAAGTGTGTGTAATGTTTGGTCGTTTGGCATGTGCCAGCTTTTCTTGAATGGACTTGTTGAACCTGCTGCACTTTTAAAATGAAAGTGTTTCTCCCAAGGTTCATTTTGAGGAAAGAAGGGCAATCTGCTGTCATCCATCGTTCTAATTCTGGGGTTCACAAGGTGTGGCATGAGCTAGAGTTTTGGGGATTCGATGTTGAGCTTGAGGCATTTGACAGAGATCAGACTGTCTCTGCTTCCCTCTCACTCTGTGCAGTGTATTCTCTGAAGAGTTTGCACATAAGGAGTTGTACTCAAGTCTGGAAACTCACAATGCAATCTCTATTAACTTGTATTATGTCTCTGTTTCCTATCGCTGCAAATGATTTAGCACTTTTGGGTACCAAACATTCTGCTCACATGATTGGTCACTCCGTGACTGATTTGCATGGTCAGGTTACATTGTGTTACACATTTCAGATGACAACAGTTCAACTGTGAGTTTTGGATACAATCATTTTTCGTTCATGCTCCACGCAATAATGCCATTGGAGCATAGGAGCAGTGCTCACGACCACAATGTCATGATTTCAACAGTGTGTGTCCCTATGAGGATGTTTATATTAAGTTGGCTGTACATTCTCCCGTTTTGGGATAGGCCATTCAGAGAACCATGTCATTGTGGTCGTGAGCACTGCTCCTATGCTCCAATGGCATTATTGCGTGGAGCATGACAAGACTATCTGTCTTTTTCCTCGCTGTCCTTGGGATTTTGCTTTGTCAGTTCTGTTTTCAGAGGATTTAATAGTACAGTGCCTGACACAACTCTCGATTTTTCTGTCCCTGGATGAATACTTCTGCTTTCACATCATGATCTGGCCTTTTAGTAAAAAAAAAACATACAAACAGTTTTCTTGACATTAAGATGTAAACATGATTTGATAAGCCATTGTGAATGGTATCAGTCAATTTCTATGCCGCCTGCTGTCGATATTTTGCATGTACATTCAAGACAACATCATCAGCATACATTTGACAAATAACATCTAGAGGAAAGACATTTGGTAAATGTTTTGCATTCGCACTAAACAACAATGGACCTATGATAGGAGAAGAACATCACCTGGTTTTACCTCTGATTCTGTGAGGATCACCGTTATTTCCGTCTCTGTTGTTGTCGCATGTTGATGTTGATGTGGAACAGAAGGTAATGTCCCACATGAAACTGGTAATTACAAAGGGAGTGTACTAGCTGTAGGTATTGGAATACATCCAATGCAGTTAGTGTACTTGCCTTCATTTAGGTGACACCTACGTGACCCAACATTGTGGGATTGGCACATTGTCTAAAGGCAAAGTGCAATGTCAGATGACTGTAGGGGAAGAATAACTTGAAGATGAAGGCGGTTGGGAAGAGTTTACTGGAGGTGATCAGGATGGAGGTGTAGCAGTCACATTGATCATCGTCTTCGTCCCCTTCTTCCCTTTGGAATTATGCTATGTGTTCCACCTGTCATTTGTCATACTGTTCTAGTTTGCTGTGAAGCTGGGCCATGTCGGCAGCCTCATCTTTCTCCTTGTCAGATATAGACTTGAAGAGTTTCCTCAGTGAGTCCATACTCAAAAAGTCTGTGGAGCTTGAAGTCTGTGGTGTCTGTGGCTGAATGCTCACCCTGTCTGGAGGCAGGCTCTGCTTGACTAGTAGTATAGCCTGAAACTGCTGCTCCTTTCTACTCCCCTGACTCTCTTCCGATAATGTGTGAGGAAAGGGCAGGCTATAGTCAGGGATGTACTCCTCCAGATGCTTGGCATGCAACAATGCATTTAGGGTCTATCAAAAGTCTTAATATGAGGGAGAGCCGTGGATTTATCTTCTGATGACAATAGTTGACCTGCCCCATGATAATCTAGGCTTATTCTACAAACTAGAATGGTGCTGGGCTGAGAAGAGCATCTATTATTTAACTGTTGTGATTCTATATGGACTAGTCATTCCCGGGGATTCCCCTAAACATGAGCTACTACTGCCGTGTCTCGTTCTCTTATTAATGGAACCGGGTAATATCCATGACCTGGACTAGTTTCGATGTTGAAAGTGACATAACCTATGCTGTTTATCATTAACATATAAGAAAAGTATATCTAAGTAATCAATTTCCATAATGACATATTATATATTCAATTTAAATAATGCATAATACAGTTTCTTTGCCTAGTTTAGCTTCATTTTCTTCTGACTTTTGTTCTTCCCAAAGTTGATGTACCACATCTTTTATTCTACACAGATAAGGCTCTTATACTACATATTGGAGAAATGTGCACTGGAGAAATGTCTGGCTGCTTGCCCAGGCTCAATTACCTGTTAAACAAAATTCAGAACACCTTTGTCTTGTGGGCCGTATATTTTGTACATAACCAGTCATGTCTTTTGCCGTTTTTCACTTGCTCTGGAGAAGAATGTCTACTAAATGCTTTGTATGTAATATGAATGAAACATAAGTGCTTGCATTCCCATAATTTAGTCTTACAGCAACACTTGCCAGTATTGGAGCGGCGAGTATCCCCAGTGCTGGACTGGTCACCATGTTACTCATCCTGACAGCCGTCGGCCTTCCCACTCAAGACATCAGTCTGCTGGTGGCTGTTGACTGGCTCCTGTGAGTATTCCTAATCTAGGTTTATTTTATCCTGATTAGGTCTGTTTAATGTTAACTGAAGGCATTTCCTGAAGCTGTCAGTAGCCGCATTTCCATTATCCTTCAAATTGAAAATTGAAATTCCGCCCATTGGAAACATGTCAATTTTGCAAAAACTCCCATATATCGCAAAAAAGTTTTTATGCTCGCATGAGGAGGTTTTTCAGGCATTTTGAAAAAGGGATATTTCGCAAAACTGCAATGGAATCAGTTTTTGTGCATTTATAGGTCACCTGACGCGGTGTGTTTGGACAGAAGACGAGACAGAGTTCTTGTTTAAACTCATAAAAGACAAAAGAATTACAGGAATACTGGATTCTAATCCACAAAAAAATGCCACAATCAAGACCTTGAAGCAGATTTGAGGAAGAAACACCCATAAACATCTCACATGTGGCCACTCATAAGTATAAGGGGCTTTCTTTGCCATTAATGATTGTATAACACGCCTAGTCTCATTTGATTAAAGGGGTCACGAACTGAGAAATCAAAATTTCCTTGAAGTTTTTATATTTCCTTGAGGTATTATGAGAATATGCTGAAAGTTTCAGAACTGAAAACTACTTTGTTATTCCAAAATCAGCTTTTATTGTTACCAGGCCCAGCAAACGACTCGTCCTGGAATGTGCCTCTTTATGATGTAATAAGGTAGTGAAAGACCGCCTCTGCAGAAGAAGATCAGCTTAGGCCCCGCCCACTGGCGTTTGCGAGATGAGGAAGAGAGTAGAGCACAGGGTCACTCACTGGACTAAAAATAGCATTACCTTCAGGAGGATCCTAATGATAGGAATGTGGATATTTATTTTCAACAAGGAGAATGTCTCAGTTGAACATTATTTATTCGTATTCGGTACATTTCACTGGATTCTTTGGTAAATCAGTCCGCAAACTCGGCGCAGGCTTCTACGATATGGACTCGACAGTATTGTCACAACATGTAAGTAACCCTGTTCATTCTAATGCCTGATCTGTGTCCAGTGATTTCTGATGTAATGATTCATGCAGTCAGATGTTCTTTGTCATGTCAGTAAATCAAATCAGTGACTAAATGGTCTAGCCTACTTCACATTGTTTCTCTTAGTAGGGTGTAAATAATCTGTTATTTAAACTGATTAAATTATATATAGAAAGTGATCAAAGAACGCTCCGTTTACAATAGCGGTAGCTGTCAATCAAACGCCACGTGCACACTGGAGCTGTCAATCAAACAGCGAGTGTTTATCAGTGACTGAGTTCTGGACTTGCGCCAAAACTCCCACAATAATCAACAAATCTCTTATTTCCATTGTGTTTGCACTGTTAGTTATGATGAAAGCATTCGTTAGTGTGCAGAAATCGAGTTGCAATGACGAGATCGCTGCATACATGTCTGTGTTCAGCTACATGCTCATCACTGCAACCTTTCGTGCCACGATCTAAATATAATGCCATAGATCTAATTGTAATGCTATAATTATCAATTTTCACGAGAAGTTAACATTGAGAGCTGTAATAGTAAAAACGTGCTAAAAGTTTTTGAGAAAGTTCCATTTGTAATACTAGCTATGTCAGCCAATCACAGCAGTGAGCGTTTACACTGAAGTCTCACAGCAGCCAATCACAGCAGTGGGCGTTTACACTGAAGTCTCACAGCAGCCAATCACAGCAGTGAGTGTTTACACTGAAGTCTCACAGCAGCCAATCACAGCAGTGGGCGTTTACACTGAAGTCTCACAGCAGCCAATCACAGCAGTGGGCGTTTACACTGAAGTCTCACAGCAGCCAATCACAGCAGTGGGCGTTTACACTGAAGTCTTACAGCAGCCAATCACAGCAGTGGGCATTTACACTGAAGTCTCACAGCAGCCAATCACAGCAGCAGACACGCCCCTTAAAACAGAGCGTTCAAATCAGAGCGCTAAAATCAGGTTAGGAAAAATGCCTTTTATTTCTAAATTATAAAAAAAAAATCGGTAAAAATCACACTAACATTATAAGTGCACCCCAGGAAACATTAATAATGGCTAGCGCAGTGGCTGGGATACATGCAAACCTACTGACATCCGTCCCCATGATTTTTGGAATGACTCATTGCGATAGGACAAAATTACATTTCATTTGCATAAAATTGGATAATGGAAACGCCGTCATTTCGCAATAGTTTTTATCGACATTTAGAAAATATTGCAAAAGTTTTGCGCAAATCTGTAATGGAAACACGGCTAGTGTCATTTTTAAGCTTATCCTGCTCTGGTTAAGGAAATTCTTTGTGATTGCTGAGCGGAGCTTTTCGTCTGGTGTTTTCTTTATTTTTCTCAGGGATCGTTTCCGTACCTCAGTTAATGTGGTTGGAGACTCGTATGGTGCTGGCATTGTCTACCACTTGTCCAAGGCAGAGCTGGACGCTCTGGACGCCCAACATGGGAAGACTGATGACATAGAGTTGATGACCAAGACCCCATCCTACTATGATGACCTCAAAAACCATCATGAAAACAACTCCAACCAGTGCGTCTATGCTGCTCAAAATTCAGTCTTATTAGATGATTGCAAGGTACAAGTCACGCTTATGGACGTAGAGACATCTATTTAACACATGCCTGCATGCTCTGCACATCTCTTTACTGATATCTTTTGCATGCTAGCATATATGTAAATGTACATATGTATATATATGTATCTGTGCATATATGGTATGTATAGTATAATTGTGTTTTTCTTGGAGCATATTTTCTGCATTTTACAACATAGGATTCTTTGTTGTTAACAAAGGACATCAGAATCTATATTTAAAAAAATGAAACCAATATTTTTACTATAAACTCTGCTGTTAGTATAAAAATGCTTTTTTTTTACCTTACATCAAAAATAGTTATATCATGACAATTACAGTAATAGCGCATACATCTTTGCCGTCCTATATAATATTGTGTCAACAATTGTCCATAGTAGCTAATCTAGGAACCTTTCCCTTTCTACATGATGTGAGCATCCTATATAGCACACACACTCCAGTGTTTACATACAGTGTCGTGCCACCACCAATTCCTTTGTGACCGAGGTTACATACATCATAATCCGTAAAAGAAACCATAACCATGGCAACTGGCCCAGATCAGCATGAAACGGCATGGTTTGCCAACAAGAACCCTTCGGCCTGATGGTGGAAAAAGGCTTTATTCAGCTCTGATGAATGCTCTATTGAGTGATTCAATTTAAGTGATTATTCAGTTAAGCCTGTAATTGAAATAAAAATCCCTGATGATCAAGTTTGAGAACATCAGCAATGAACCATTGCCTGAGACTAACCAAACTTTCAGGGGAGTTCAGAATGAAAGGGTAGAACCATCCTCCTGAGTAGACACATCTTCATTTTCTAGTTTTGATTAAGCTGCTTTCACGGCATGTTGTTATTACCTTAATTACGAGATGACTGTGACGTTCTCCTCTGAGCTACGTTTCTATGGAAACAATGCCAAATTGAATCTGCAGTGGTCATGTGGTACAAGTCGGAGCTCTTAGAACAGTTCTAGAGTTTAAAAGTCGTAATTACGAGTTCTACGAGGATGTGAGTGCTTTTTACAAGTCAGAATCTCATTATTACGGTAATTCCGATATGGTGTGAACATTATTAAGCTTTATTTTATGTTACAGAGATTTAAACACATTTGGTTCATGGATTCTGTTATTAACTGTTGTCTAATAGACAGAAAATCTGCTCCTTTTATTCTGCTGTCTGTTCTGCTTTCATGCTCTGGATACAAATCTATAAAATAACAAAATCTAACCCAGTTTATTGACAAATGCAATCCATTGTAGAAGCCTTGCAAAATAACCACTCATAAATGCATGTATGAATGTTGTACCTTGTTTGTTTGTTTGTTTATTTATTTATGAATTTTAATGAAAGACTGTGTTTTGTTGAATATTATAGAGTAGTCTGTGTATGTGTAATTGAATATTCTCACACAGGTAAAGCAGTCAAATGGTTTAAGTGTCAGTGTGTATTGTTAAATGCAGATACTTTAATCTTGGAGCACAGAATTCTGAATGGATTAAACATTGGATTTATATTTCCTGAGTGAATCTGAAAAGTTATATCTAAAATGAGGCAAAAAGAAGAAGGAAGTCAAAGGAATGGAGCACAGAGAGGAGACTAAGAATGATAACCATAATGATAACTTTGACTATAAACGCTATGGGAACGCTTCTGCGTGAGCCAGTGCCTGAAGCATGCGTCTAAACACGGCAATCCGATTGGCTGAACATATGAGCGTCATGGTGTAGCGCAGCGCATCACCATGTCCATAAATAGACACTAGAAATCTGCGCCAAAGGCTTCTTTGTCTTCAGAAGCCTCGTGTTTGATGAAAATTTTTATTGTGTGTTTGGAAAATCTTTAGACCTGGAGTTAGTCTATATAGTCCATATATATATATATATATATATATATATATATGTGTGTGTGTGTGTGTGTGTTAGCGTCCTTATACGCATAGTTTCAAGTTTGCTTTGGGGGCAAAGCATTCTGGTATGGAGTCGTCCGCGGCCTGACCCAGGTTAGGCCAGGACACATTGCAGCGATTTCTCTGGTGACTCAAGAACAGAGACTTCCTAAATCCCTGAGAGCATCCCCTCCTGGGGGTAATCTGTGCACACCATGATGTGTGTTCGATTTCCTTCGGGGCTCTCACTTATCCCACCGCTTCTGGTGATTGGGGAAGTGGAGGCGTCCGGCGGGCCATCTTCGCTCACAAGCGAATCGTCTCTTTAGTTAGGATGTACTCATACTAGGTATTGTTGTCTTGTACCGTGCCCTGGAGTGATTGTCCCCTCTCCCCCGCTAGCCTGCACTCACATTGCACTTAACATTCCGGGCCGGATCACGCTTGCGTCATTTACAATGAAACTTTTTTGTTTTGAAGAAAACAGAAAGAAAAGCACTTTTGCTAATAGACTGCCTAATAGATTTATCATTTATGTAGCGCAGAGATTGTACTGCACAAGTGCACTTATCAGAAGATTCTTACGGAAGCAGTTGACATTGATGGAGGAATTTGCAGCTTTACTTGCAAACTACAATTCCTGTTCATCAATAAGGTGAGAACCAGACTCGTTATGAACCTAAATAAACTTGATTAAATTAAATTAATTGAAAAGTCTACCGTCAAAGTAGTAATAGAAGATGTTTGCTGTCATAATGATGACAGTAGCGCTTAGCTGTTCCGTGCTCCGGCGCGGTTAGCGTTCACTCTACATGTGTACCGGGGCACGGTACAGAGCGATCACACTAGTCAAACGAACCAGACTTTGGGGGTCAAACGAGCTCGGGCACAGTTCAGATCGCCTAGTGTGAGTACACCCTTAGTTCGGGCGGTCCTTGCCAGTTCATTGCTTCAGGGACCGAAACAGACTGCTACTATTACTGGCAGCCCTCCGCAAGTAATAAGGGTTACGAGCAGATGCTTCATCGCATTCCTCTGTGGAAGACCCTGGAGTTTCCTAGGGTCCACTCGTGGGCCTTTTTGCTATCGCAAGACTCTCACAACAGATGGCTCTTTCACAGGCTGGGGTGCGGTCTTGGGTGGCTGCCCAGTTTATGGTCTCTGGGTAGGCCCATCTCATATGGCATAAAATCAGCTGGAGATGAGGGCTGTATTTCTAGCATGGAAGTACTTCTACATCTGAGGGGCTAACATGTGTTGTTCTGGACAGCTAACACACTTTTTGCCTATATCAGGGATGGGCAACGCCGGTCCTGGAGGGCCACTGTCGTACAGAGTTTAGCTCCAACCCTGAAAAAATCACCTGCCTGTAACTTTCTAGTAATCCTGAAGACCTTGATTAGCTTGTTCAGGTGTGTTTGATTAGGGTTGAAGCTAAACTCTGTAGGACAATGGCCCTCCAGGACTGTAGTTGCCCATCCCTGTCCTATATATTCATATATATTGGTTTGCACTCTCAAGTTCAGGGGACGATATTTCATCCCCGGCCTGAGATCGGAAGCTTTGGGTCTGGTACCAGCTCATAGATTCTGGTGTTTCGGCTGACAATCCTCAATCCTAGCATTGACCCTAAGAAGCCTTAACAGAAGCCCTATTTGAGTCCTTGTAGTCGTTGTCAAAAGTGGCTCTGTTATTAACATTTACATCACTCAAGGGCTACTACCAGGGTCTTTCAGTAGCCTTCTCCTGTTTAATCTTTGAATGAGGTGATGTCAGAGTTATTTTGCATCACAGACCGGACTACATTTCAAAAGTACCTTCTGCGGCTCCTCAGTCGGTCACTTTGCAGGCTTTCTTTTCTCCACCCCATGAGAAAGAAAGCTGCAGAAAGAAAGCCTCCACCTGCTATGTCCGGTCCATGCTCTGAGAATCTATGTCCACTGCTCAAGCCAGTGGCGTAGATCCTCTCAGCTTCTGGTATGCTTTGTTGGTCGAAATAGAAATAATGCGGTCACCATGAAGCCTTTGTTGCATTGGATTACAGATGCTATCAACCTATCCTATGAGGTGCATGGAATGGCTTCGACTCTAGGGCTCAGGGCCCACTCCACTAGGAGTATGGCATCTTCCAAAGCTCCTGTGAGGGGTGCACCTTTATATGATGTTTGTGGCAGGCTGGTATCAGAAAATACTTTCATCAGGTTCTACAGTTTGGATATGGATTCAACCCCAGGATCCCCAGTCCTTCAGGGTAGACCCAAGTCCAGTCTATGCCGATAAACAGCCTTGTGGGCAGGCTCTGTTTCTTTAGGCATAGCGATATTGTAATGGAAGTTCCCAAAGCGTCAATGGCATGACATAGCGTCGAGTTCCACTCGAATGGTAACGTCTCAGGTTACTATTGCAACCCGGTTCCCTGAGAGGTAATCTAGAATCTGCGTCATGTTGCCACACCACGGTTATGCCTGTGTGTCTTCAGAGAAATTTAATCTGTCGACGGCATTTCTGTCTATTTATGGACTCGGTGACTCGCTGTGTTATATCACAACGTCCAGCCAATCAAACATTCAGCCAATCATATTAGCATGTTCAAGCACGTGTCTCATGCAGAAGCGTTCCCAAAGCATCAACGCCATGATGGCATGTCTCGTTACCCCCTCAGGGAAATAGGTTATATACGTAACCTGCGATGTTACCAAAAGAAGTCACTCAAAAGAATCCGGTCGTTATGCCTGAAGACACCGCAAAAGCAAACAACTCACGGTGTGCTTTAGTACTACTGAGAAACCTTTATCTCCATACCAAAATCTCACTTGGTCAGATAGTGATTCATCTTTTCTGAATCGTCAAAATATTGGTGTCCGGGACTTAAAGTGTGCTATCAATGAATAGTGCTGATAATCCGCAGTAGAGATAGTATTCTCACTTAAAACGGAGTAGAAGCTTGGACCCAGAATTAGTATTATCTGAAGGTTGATGCATCGTGACAACAATAGCGCAGTCCACACCATAACCATAATGTCACGACACAAAGGAACAATGTTGTTACACTATTGGGATCTTTTTCAGATAACTGAATTATGAAAACAATGACAGCAAGTCAAAATCCATCCAACTTTAAGATTTAGATTTTTTAACTTGCACTTTGCAAAGGCTATTTTAATCGAAAAGGTAAGGCAAGGAAACTTGTTAGAACTTGTGAAAGAATGTTAACAATTTTGCTAAAAGACCCAGAATTCTTTGCTCCAAAGCTTCAAAGAGAATTTACATTTATTGTTGAACATACACATGGATGTGCACTCAAATTTGTTGATAACTGTTTCAGGTAACCTTGGCAGCCACAAACGGCTCAACTGCGGAGTGCACGCTTGTTGAGGAAGAACCTCGGAAAAACAATTAATGCAAGCACACAGACCCCGGCACCCAAAATGAGAGAAAAACCAACCTATATTCATGCACATAGAACAAATGGGTTTTGTAGTTTATTCCTATGGTTTCTATTCTTTTCTAACATGTTTAACAATGCATATGTTCTCATGTAACACAAGAATGTGAGGCCAAAAGCTCACACATGCAGCTGAGGCAGTTAGGGAAATTATTTGTGATGCTAATAAATATATACATAAACTTCCAAACCTATGAATTTTGAGGAGAAGGGGTGAAAAATGAGGGTTTTTAGAGGGAAAACAAAGATTCTTGCAGAGCCAACATCACCCACTGCTGTTTCTATGAGAATATGACAGAAACCTGAACCACCTTGCACAACACTGTAGCACCTCTTTGTCCGAACAGATCTTAAGCCACTTCTCAAAAGGGTAATATGGTGTTGCTAGGAAACAGAAGTAGGGACGGAGACAGCACACAGATGGAACGTAAAGCACAAGCGGCGTTATTTTGAGCCCCTCCTCCTCTGCATCGCTCACAGGGGAGGGATGTGTTCTCTGTGCTGTCAAGGAAACGGATGAGAGGGGGTTGCTCGTATGTATGTTGGTGAGTCTGTGGCGCAATAGCACAAAAACCTTTCAGGCACATTGCCATTATATTTACCATTCAGGTCGTACGAGAGCCCTTTGCATCACGAAATACACTGAAATATGCAATGCACGCCTTTTGTTTAGTTCATTTTAAAGCACAAATTGTCTATTTATGTTGTACAACCAAAACCAGGCCTGAACATGTGTCAGTCATACAACGAACATACAGATGATGTCACCTGTGTGAAAAATCATGAATTCCAGAAGTGCATCTTTTGAAATGACATGGCTATTTGTCTATGCTTTGGTGTGGTGGTGGTTGCTAAACCCGGTTTGGCATTATTAACAATTCTCTTTAGCTTAATATGTCAAGCACAACCCATCTAAAATATCTACATGCCTTTGCCCAGATACTCTATATATCCCATTTGTATTCTATATTTCGGCTGTTTTTCCTTCCACTGATGAGATGTAGAGATATACTCAGGCATATAAAATATAAATATAATAATTTTGTCCAGGAATAATTTTGTCAGGGGAAAAAAAAAACATTCCTAATGCAGACAGAGATGATTTGTATGACGGCCCTGTTAGCATGCTGGAGAGAATTTTTTACCTGTTTTTATAATCCAAGTAGGTTTACACATTTCTAAATACCTAATGCCTTCGTCTTTCACTGCTGACGTTACACTTTTTATTATAGTTATCTTTTTTTACGCCCCTTTTAAATGAGCTGAAGTTCTTACCTCAAAGAGACATTGCCAAGGCTATTGTAACTATTTTTAAGCAATTTTGTTTTTGAGCTTTGAAAAAACAAACAAAAAACAACTGAAATAACTACAAAAGCAAGTAGTATTACAACAGAAGGGTTTAATCGTAATAAAAAGGAGGATTTTATAACTACACTGTTATAAACACTACCTCTGGATGTACCATCCTCTTATCCATCTCTGACAGTGTCCTTCCCTCATTTTGCAAATGACTGTTTCTAAGCCCCGCCATGCTGCAAAACCACTATCAGAGAGACACAACTTTCCACCACTTCCTGTCAGACTGACCAATCAACAGAACACTTCCTGTCAGACTGACCAATCAACAGAACACTTCCTGTCAGACTGACCAATCAACAGAACACTTCCTGTCAGACTAACCAATCAACAGAACACTTCCTGTCAGACTGACCAATCAACAGAACACTTCCTGTCAGACTGACCAATCAACAGAACACTTCCTGTCAGACTGACCAATCAACAAAACACTTCCTGTCAGACTGACCAATCAACAGAACACTTCCTGTTGGACTGACCAATCAACAAAACACTTCCTGTCAGACTGACCAATCAACAGAACACTTCCTGTCAGACTGACCAATCAACAGAACACTTCCTGTCAGACTGACCAATCAACAGAACTCGTCCACATACCTCACTACGCCAGTCAGATATTCCTACAAATTTCGTTAAAGTGAGTGATAAATCCAGACACACTTTCAGTTTTCCCTGTGTGTGATATTTATCAGATGATGCTAAAAAAATATATTTAATATGCGTCTTTTACAAAGCTAAACACAGATATTGATAGAACTCTACCCCTAATATATTTCTAATAAGTTTAAGACATCTCGCTAAGATGCTTTGCAAACTCTTCGACGATCCAGTGTTATAACCTTTGCCAAGAGAATAAATGCCATATGAACACAAGTTCATTTGCCACATTATATAGTGTGTGGAATCATAATGTGAATTGTAAATGTTGTGAGTGTTGCCCGTTAAAAAGGCAGACATCTTGACACTTGAGATTGTTTGGTCATTGAGCGTTGAGCCACTGTTGTGTTTATCTCACTGTTAGATGCATGGACATTTAGTGTTTTTGCACCAGTAAGCATGACTTGTGAAGTGCCTCCCTGCACTTTGTGTATATATTGAAGGCAGGGGCGTCGCTGGGACTGAGTACGGGGCCCTGATCTATCGGGGCCCTCAGCGTTCCCCCTCGAGGGCCCCACCAATTCTACCATGGGGAAGCTGAGCAACCCCAAACCCACTGAGGGAGATTGATCCAATGAAATGTACTATACTGGGGGCCGAGAACACCAGCGGCGCCACTGAGTGTTGGTGACATTGGTATTTTATTTTTCAGTCATAGAAATATTGAGATAGTGTTTAATTGATGTGACAGTTTTTAATGAAGTGTTTTGTAATACTGTAGAAACATATACCCTCTTTGTGCTGCATACGCTAAAATACTATAGTGAAATGTATAGAAACGTATAGGACATTGCTTGAGTTTAATTCAGACTAGCTCTCTCAGCAAATTCATATCCATTGTTATATCTGATCTATGTTTGGAATGTTTTTCCCTACTTAAATTTATGTGTCCCTGCATTTTTATGTAAGAGATTAAATTTTAAATCTAACATCAGACTCAAAAAAAAGGATATTTGTATATTATATATAGCATCTCAAAATATTCAAACTATATTTTTGAAGATGGTATACAATAATCATATTGTCTTTATGTGATAGTCTTATATATGATTCTGTTATATGTACATCAAAAATATGTAACATCTTAAAAAGATATGATAAGATATGCTGAGATATGATCTTGATGATATAAAGCACTCTGTATTAAGTCATCCACGGTATCTGTAAACTTCATTTCTCAGTTTCATGCTGTCTGTTCTGTCTTGCACTTGACTTTCCAATGTTTCTTTTCTGATATATTTTGTACACGCACACAGATACACAAAGAAATTTACTGGCACAATTTTCATTTGAAACATTATTTGTAGAATAACCCAGATTTATTATTCTTACTTAATCGAATACATCTGAAACCATCATTAGTAGATGGTTTACCTTTCTTACATGTATCTTATATGTAAAACCCATCAGTTCTGCTCCACTTTTCTCTCATCCTTTTTGTGATGTGATTTGTTTTTTTATGTAAAGGGAGGGGAAACTAGTCAAAAAGGAAAGTGGTAAAATAAATGATTTCCTGTGTCATAGCTGTGAAATAAAATTGTGTTCATGCATATCAATATGTGTTGTACCATTGGTGTACATACAGTTATTATAACTAATAAATGTTGATTCATAACTAATTAAAGTCTTTTTTATTGACTGACAGTTTTATGAATACAGACAAATAAGTTGATGAGGTAATTCAGCTGGGTTAAATATCAGAATCAGAAAGAGCAATGTTGTCAAGTATGTTTGCACACACAAGGAATTTATTTTGGTAAAAAAGAAGCTTCCAGTACATAGAGACAACACCAGTACACAGATAGTAGAATACAGAATAGAGATATGTGGATATGATACACACACCTATGCAGAGTAGAAGGGAATAAAAAGGTTATTGTCAAATAAGTGTAATTGCACATGTTGAGGTATGAGGTCGGAGGACAGAAACTGTTCCTGTGTCTGGCTGTTGTGGTGCTGGTGTCGGATTTAATCGTTTTTCAACCCAAAAATTAATGTTTCTTTCCCTCCTCGACCCCCAGCCAGGGCCGCATTAAGAGCTCACTGGGCCCCGGGGCTATGAGTTACTGCAGGGCCCCCACCACTACAGGTCACCAACTACATGAGCTAAATGTTTTATCATTATACGAGTCATTTTATCCATCTATGATATACTTCACAGTTAAGTTATATTACTTTTAAAACGATTTTTTATCATATCAAAATTTAATGGGACTAACATTTCATAATTCTTGTGACCAATTTCAATAATAGTAACTTAAGAAAAGAATCTCAAGCTTACCGATGACAAGAGTCACAAATAACAATAGAACAAAGGCACATAAGAAATCGACCTTGAAAAATTTAAAGCACTGAATAATATTATATTGTATAAAGTAATCAAATGTACAAAACATAGTTTTCACTATAAATTCAACATTCATTCTTATTAATTTTACAAAAGTGATTCATTCAAGGGCAGTAAATTACTTTCTTTCTGATGTTTGATTAACATTATGGACACAAATGGCGACAGCAGCTTTATTAGCAGCTACTGTCACTTTAAGACCTCAGGGTCGGAACTCAAGTGAGCTGTGCAAAACCGCCTCAAGTTATCATTTAAAATAATTTGTATCCAAACCACAATGATTAAAAACGCGTTTAATTTATAAACTTACATCATAATGTCTCAGCAAAATTTATGTGGTATGTGGTAGTGACATGCCCCCTGAAATTCATACATTTTATATCATATTATAATGCAACTTATTAGGACTATATATTTATAGAATAGCAAAGTAGGCTTAATCAATATACAAGACTTAACCACACAGATATATAAAGGCTATCATGATCATTTTGCCAAAAATGAACCATGTAGCCTATTTGTTTAGATTATAATACGTTTTAATTTTAACTTAAACAAATACAACATTTAACATTCGAAACTCATCGGCTTAGACTGCATTTGAAGAAAAATAAACACAACAGTTTTCTGTAGCCTTGTGCGAACTTATTCAATAGAATTAGACTTCTAGAATGTTCTTTCCGGTGCAAAAAAATTTTTTAAACATTTTTTAGTAGTTTTTCTTATCATAGCCTACAAATGTCTTCGGAAACAAATTTTACTCGATTTACTGAAGCCTGTAAAATGCATTTGCAGCTGCACAGCTAGCACATTGAGCGTC